GACTTTGGGCTGGACTTGGGCGGCCTTGGGCGGTTGGGCTTGGGCCTTGGGCCCAATCACTATATATCTTTTTGCTGCAAATTTATTTGCAACTTTAGGCCCAAATGAAAATTCCAATTCTAGTTGGATTTGGACTCGGTTTTGATCCAACCCGAGTCAGACCTCTCCAGGTACAATGGATCTGGACACATGACCTTTCATGTTAATGGCTGGTTAAGGGTGTAGTAACACCTGATTAATGGTGTTGTAATACCTGAAACGTTTTCAGGTTAATGGTGCCATTTATCTCAGCCTTAAGTGGCTGATGTAACATTTGGTTCTCCCTCATGAGGTGGAAGTCCTATAAATAGGACTTAGAGCTGCAAGTGAAAGATACATCATTTCATGCAATCTGATACTCTCAAAAGCCTCACGCATCATATCATAGTTCTCGGTTCTCGACTTCATTCTTGTTCGACTGGACTCTGAAGGCTGGTGTGCTACAGCTTCCGAGTGTTAAAGCCGTTGTATCTTTGGGGACATTACGCACTGACCCGTCAGCACTACACGGGGCGTATTTGTCTTGCGGATAGATTTCAATCGCCTCGGCTCAAATCTCTCCGCGTTCGAGTTGTAATTTCATTTTTTGTTTTAGTTCTTTTGTACGAACTGAACACTTCAGTCAGTTCATAGGTTCCCGTTGTAATTCAGAACACACTTTGTGTAACATTACCGAATTCAACGTTGTGATGTTTTTTCGTTCTTAACAATGTGGTTACGTAATCAGGTGCACCTGATAAGGCTCTCGTCCGGCGGTACGGAATTGATCTGCGAAGGCTTGTTCTCGCATCCGAACGAAATATGGGATCTTGCGTCCTGTCCTTTCGATCCGAGGATTTTCTCTACTGTATACTCTTCTGGTAAATTTGAAGTTTCAGTTCAAGCACTCAATTGTTTCATGCCGTAATGTGGTTAGGCTGATAAGTGCATGAGTGCTTGAATTCAATTGGAGAGGAACAACTTGTTAGTGTAACTTCGCTTACCAGCTTATAGCTCTAATATTTTAATTTGTCCAAGCTCAAATTGTTAAGTTATGCACCTGTAGTCTTTGGGCTAGAAGATGGAGCAGCTTCTAATGTTCTATTGGAGAGGAACAACTTGTTAGTGTAACTTCGCTTACCAGCTTATAGCTCTAATATTTTAATTTGTTCAAGCTCAAATTGTTAAGTTATGCACCTGTAGTCTTTGGGCTAGAAGATGGAGCAGCTTCTAATGTCACATATCGATTTGGAGTTCTGTATTATAGACTTTCAACCTCGAAATGAGTCTAGAAATTTTTCTATAAATCAATCAAGTCACATTCCTGGCTCAAGAGTATCAAGGGTGCAAAAGGAGAGACAAAAAAGTGTCACATATCGATTTGGAGTTCTGGATTATAGACTTCAACCTCGAAATGAGTCTAGAAAATTTTCTTATAGACTATAGTTATTATCTAAGTTATAAAATTGAGTTTATTACTGATATATGATTTTGTTGTTTGTTATGTTGGTTTAAAGGGGAAACATATGGGGCAGCGGTATGGCAAATCCTAGAGCTGTATGGTAAACTGAGTTCGCCTCAGCTGGAAAGTGTTGCTTCTCTTGATGCACACACTTGCAGGATTAGAAGGTGAGCTTGCTTTATCAGTACGTGTTGTGATTTAGCTGAAGTTAGCATGAACTATATTAGTTCTTAGTTAGCAGATGTGAATGATGTATGGTTTTAAGAGCCTTATATTATTAATCAGATTATTGTGTATAAGAAAAAAATGATAGTTGAATGGCTGAAATGTCGTCATGGCAGTGTAAACTAATTAAAGTTGGAATTTAAAAGCATTTTTTCAGTTTCAATTATTTCAGACAAACAGATGAGTGTGCATCTGCTGCTGCAGCTGATTCTGTGTCAAAGTTATAACCAATTATCATGTCTTTACATTCATCAAGTTCTGTATAAATCAAGATTTGTGTGTCATGATAGTTTTGCTTTAGGGTCCCCCCCATGAACATTTGGCTCGCTCTCTTATTATGTTTTTTCCTGCTTTCCATTCTCAGGGTAAAGACAGAATTAGTTCACGTCTCCTTGAACATACATTCTTCTCTGCATATCTGCTATGCATGCTCTCTTGGAAGACATAAGATTAACCAAAACTCACACGGACATAAACTTACATAAACTTGAATATTATTACGGCAACACCTAAAAAAGTAGTCTTCACACTTAATATAAGGAGTGTTTGCTAGAAGAATTTATAGATGGAAATAATACTCATTTTGCTACCTAGAAGATGAGGCGCTTGTTTATTGTTTACCGTTACTCCTTTAGAATCTATGGTGTAGATATATTTCATCCGGGGTTAATTTTTCACCCTAATAAATGGTGGTTCATTAATCCACAACTTCCTCTCATGGTGGGGAAAAGTGAATGAATGAATGAAAGCGGGAACTTATTATTCAATCATTCAGTACTCTTTTGATCTGATTAGTGTTTTCCTGTGAAACTGACTCGAATAACTAAGAGTCATGAAACTCAGTATTTTCCCTCTCCATTATTCCAGATTCCTGCTGTTCTTTGGGTAAAATAAAAATTTTGGACATTCCATTTCCAACATTACTAGGTGCTTATATACTAAATGATACTGCATTTTCTTTGAATGTAGTGTGCTCTGGTGGAAAACAGGAAGGCATGACAAGCTAGTCAGTATCGATGAGCAAAATCTCGTTCTCTGGAGCTTAGATACTTCAAAACTGACTGCTCAGGTGTAGACTTGCTCAAATCTCAGATTTGCTTCGGATATAACTACAGCACACTAGCACAGCTCGCCATAATAACATTCTGTATACCTATGTTTCTTAGCTATCTGTATTTTTGTAGTAGAAGATTCTGTGATGCTCACGCTTCCGGTCATTATCCAACATAATAGCTTGTGACTTTGACAGTTGATTTATTATTCTATCTCAAAACTTTGGAGACATAAGAGAGTTTTCGGAGCTATGTGCTCAACTCTAACCACCAATATCATTTTTTTTATTCTTCTGGAACCAGTTATACTCTACCCCTCTATTTCCATACCTAGAATAATCTTATCGAATTAGCTAAGAGCATAGATGGATATAGCTGGACAACTCAGCAGCCTCTAGTTATTATTCATTTTACCTTGCCTAGTTATTAGAGCTAAGTGTGTGATTGGATATTGATTGAACTAGTTTTTTGTTGGTTCTTTTTTAACCATAGTTAATTTTGAAAAATGTGGTATGGTTAGTTATTAATGGATATTTAAGTTTAAATTAAAATATTATTAATAAAATAATTAAAATTGATTTGATGTAAAAGTAGGAGAAAAATTATTGGAAGTGATGGTTAGTTAAAATTATGTGAGTGAATGAATAATGAACTAAAGTTGATGTGATGTGTAAGAATGATTGATTGATATTATTCAATTATATTGATAATATTGGAGATAGTGGGGTTGGGTTATATAATCCTCACATTGCACCTTTTATGTCATTTACATGTGATACAATTTTGTCCAGAGAGATCGTAGCTGATATAATAACCTTGTAGTTCCTAATTTCTTGATCCAGTTTTTCGTCAGACCTTGCTATGTGATCTAGGTACAATCAAAAGAATCAGCCGGCATGCATCACAATTTAAGTGGAGGAGCATGGGATCCTTATGACTTCAATAATGTTTCTTTGACATGTGATTCATCGGTTCAACTTTGGGATTTGAGGACAATGAAGTACGTTAAATTAATCCCTCGTATCTGTAATTGTTGGGTAATAAATTACTTAAAGTCCTATTTTTATCTTAGAAGTCAAGAGAATTTTATAGCTTTTCACTATCATGGTCGTGTTACAAGCATTAACCTAAATAATAAAGGTTTCCCATGGAGTTTTGTTGCCCTTTTGCCCTGTTACGATGGGTGCAACTGTGCTTCTTACTGCTCTGCTTTCAATGTGCTTTTTATTCTTACTTAAATTTATAAATCAATGTCATTGTGTACTGGCTCTTTCGGTAGCATTCGGCTACCTAGACCATTGATCAGTGATTTCATTAGAAGGCTTGCAGTTTTTAGTAATATACGTTTCTCTCTGATTTCGCCCCTCAGACGACTTAATTTGTTCTGCTTATTCTTTTTGTGTTTTTTATTGGAACGCCAATATGAGTGTCCAATTTATGTGATTTCAGGAAGACTGATTCAATTGAGCATGCCTACTCCCGCAATGTCGACATTGACACGAAAAAGAGGTACATGCTTGTAAGTATGCTGCTACATGATATATGGTTCAATATGTTTTACTACTTTTAGCCTGTGAGCTGATTTTTCAGTTTCCATAGTCATTTCATTCTAGCTTCCTATAAAAATTCTAGACCTGATAATTATTGCAGAGCTGTTAGGTACCCTTATGTTGTCCATCATCTTCCTCAACCACTCTTAGCAACCCCATCGTGTGCTTTTGCCTAGCACACCATCTCATAAAGTTTTATTAAAAAATAGATCCTTGAATATAGATGATAAATATCTACAGATACTACAGAAGCTACTTGTTCACCATATTCAAGCACACACCCTTGCCCTCTTGCTTTATTTTTGCGCATTGGTATGGGGAGGGAAAGGATGGAATGAGTCAATACCAATATCCCTAAAGGAAATAGAGGCTTTTTTGATATAGGAAAAGAAGGAAGACAAAAAAGGAAAAAGTAAAGATACAAAGCTATCCTTATGGAACCATCTTTCTGATCTTCTGCTCTCTTTACTTCTGCAATATAGAAAAATTTCCAGTTTATGAACCGAGTTAACTCATGTGGCAGCTTTCTCTAAATCCATCCTGTCAATCCTTTCTGTGCCTTTTAGTAAGGCATTGAAGAACAAACTAATGTGGTTTGTTTGGCATTTTTTTCTAACTGCTTTAAGGTGACGTAAATTCGTCTGATGACAGGTAATACATCAAGGTCAGATTAATGTTGAAAGTAGTTTTTCTGTCAAAATGTAAAAAGTAGGAAATGTATGTGGATTATCAAGCATCAAGTTCAGTTAGTTTAATAGGCCACGGTTAAGTTGCAGTGATCTGCATTCTGGGAATTCTTCATTGATACTTTGATTTGGTTTAGTGTTTTTATAACAAATTACATTACTGTTTCTAAGGATTTGGTAAACACGGCCAAGTGTCATTTAGTAAGGCAATCCGGGTGGATGAGAAATTGCCTACATAAGGTCAAGGCACAGTTGAAGCCAAGTGATCTTATGCTCTTAGAATGAATTAGAAGCATAATGATCGAGAGCTTGTAACTGGGCTGGTTCTGCTTCCTAAATGGATAGTAAGGCACACAAAAATTGCTTTTTCATCCGATCGTTGCAAACCAAGTCTCATACTCCATTAGTACTCTGCATTGTAGGAGTGTCATTAATCCAAAACCATTTATACGAGCCTTGACGGAACTCTTTAATTAAAATAGATGTTAAGTAAATGAAATCAACTTGTACGACCTAATTAGGAGCAGCATGTTACTGTACTCTGCCTCTTTAAGTCATTTACAAGTTCTCGAACCAGATTGTGTTCTTCAAAATGGATATCACTTGGAAACCTTTTCATTCTACCTTATTCTTAGCTACTTTTGAGTGTCTAAGTTAGCAGCAGTTGTGTCATGTTGAGTCAGAAAATGGGTGCGCCCATTTCATCTGACAAGTAGTAAAATAAAAA